ACTACTTTGTTTGTTACAGATGACAATTGATAGACTCAATCTTATTAAGTAGCAGATTTTAGGACTGTAATTCTTAGGCTCTGTAAGTGATTGGCTATTCATTCCCTTGTAGAATTTTTGGTTTTTGGGGTTTTTTTATCTGTTCTACTGATCATATAGTGTTGTGTGTTCCCTATGTGTTTTCTTAATGTTGGGGCTATTTGGAAGTATATTCTTTCTGAAACAACGCGAGAACTGCTTTAGCTGAATTTAATATTTAAGAAGATTCAAGTGATGATCCCTCTTAATAAGTATTAATAGAATCTGCCCTGGGCTTGAATAACTTTGCTCTTCAGATTACTACAGTGAGAGTTAATCAACTCTCTGGTTGTCTAGGCTGGGAAGACTAGTTTTTTTGTAGGATTATGTTCTTACTAAGACAAAATCAATAAACTACTTGGGAAAAGAATAAGAGGCAAAAATTGCTAAAGGTACCGCAGCTGATGTTATCTTTTGTGTCAAACTGATATGCTCACTTTTGAGACAGAATTGGTATAATATGGGATGGGGATTGATAGTAAATGAACCAAAGTCAGTTTGCTGAAATGAAGTGAGTTTGAGAAGTGGTTGAAAACTATGAAGTGGGATTGTTTGAGCATCAGTTTAGCAAAGTTTAGCACACTGCAAGCTTGCAAGTCATTCCCACCACACTTACCAAGTTAAGGGCATTACCTGGCTTCTTCAAGAGCACACCATGTCCTTTCCACCTCCATCTTCCTCTCCCACTCTCAGATCATGCCTTGGAGATCTGTCCTGCTTCTGGGGAATTTGGTTGCCATTGAGAGTGATGGCTGTATAGGGGGACTGAACATCCTCTCTAACAGAAAGTATTAGTAGTGTAGAACTAAATAGTTTAAGTAAAAACAGATTTTCAGAACAATTAATCAATCGATCACATGCCTGCCTTTGCCTAAGGGTCGTAATTCTCAGGAACTGGGGAACACTCACCTTCCTCAGACTTTTCTTCCAGAGTCTGCCCAGTGGCAGCCTATCTTTCCACACAAGGCCTGACAACTGAATACCCACCCCTTTCCTAGGAATGGCTTTTTAACTGTTTTTTTGCTCTTTGAGCTCTGCATTGGCACAGTGGTAGTAGTCAGTGGTAGTCATTTTGGCCTGGAGCTTGGAAATACATTGTTGTATGCTATTGCTTCTCCTTTTGTGATGTTGGGAGTCTTGTGTTGTTTTCTCCAAAAATCCTTTTTTCTCCTCCCATTATTGAATTAAATCCATTAGTTTCTTCATAAAGCTCTGTCAACTCAACACAGCTGAGTTAACCATAATCAGTAGCGGTCACACAATTTTCGCACTTTTTTGTCTTACATTATTGTTGCACCTCCATGCTGAACAGTCTCACTGAGGTCAGTGGGAAGTAGTGCAGGAAAAGCCTGAGCAAGAGGATGATACACAGGGATTTGCTTGCTACTGTGAGAAGTATGGCTTGAACCAGGCAGAAGCAATGTGGTTTTGCCTAAATCTTGTTAGTTTCATGGAAAGATGAAAAAACATTCATGGCCAATACAGAAAACCTAAGATGACAAAAGCTTGCCAGTGGAAACTGTTTTCCAGCTGAACTAAGACTGTTGCCCTTACTTGAAAGGCAACCTTTTATCTGCTTTTCTAGATCACACAGTTTAAACAGTGCAGATGCTCCTACAAAACACATCTTTCTCCAGAAGGATTAAGTTAATTTAATTTTACTTTTAATAAAATCTTAATTAAGCTGAATGATCAGCCTTCACAAAATATATTGGCACACTGTAAAAAATTGGTAACCACACTCACTGGTTTATGATTTAGCCCTGTGGAAAGTTAATAGTTGCCTTTGTCTCTGTTTCACCAGTCTGATGGCTTTTCTTGTTTTTATACAGTTCTCCATGCTTCCAGATTTAATATGGTCACAAGCTAAACCTCCTTGAAATGAGTCTTTGGTGTGCTATATTTACATTTATCAGGGCATTTATTGCTGAAGAAGCGTATGTATGGGTCACATGGGCTTTACTGAGGCTCTATCCAACCGCTTGGATCTTCCTGCACAGAGAGCAGGATGCGAGCCAGGAGGCTGTGAATTGTCCCAAACCCACACAGTGAGTCAGTGATGTGGTTGGAACTGGAACTGAGTGGTTGCTAGCTCTCAGCTTTAAGTGCATTAGGGAGTAATGCTTCTCATCTTCTGAATTTCCCTTGGTATGAATAAATAGGCTGAAACTCCAAGGAATTTCATAGAAGCTCCCAAAACCTTGAGGACCACAACCATATTCTTGAGACCAGCTCTTCTTACATAATCCTGGAGATTTGGGTGGCACAACCTTTAGATTGTCACTTATCAGTCTGGAGGTTGTGGATCATTTTCTGAAGTGCCATTTCAGGGACACAGACTTTCTTTCTGACTTTTTCCTTCACAGGGTGGCATGTTATTAACATTTTGCTGTTTCAGGCGGAGACAGTCTTTCTCCAAAAAGCTGTTTAATCTAATTGAAGCAGAATATGTAGAGGTGTTACACTGACAATAACACTTAATGGGACCTGGTCTTTAGAAAAAAACTGCATTATGAAGGGTTCCTTACTGTGAGAGGATTTTTGTTTTGAATTAACATGAGACCCACAGGGAGCTTGTGTTGTCTCGTGACCTGGTATGTTAGCAAACAGTGGGTAATCCATCCTGGAATGGAGATATTTAGGTGGGACAAAGACTGGAATTGAAGATTCCCTGGCATTTCCCAAGAATAACATCTAGATCCGTGTGAACTGGTTTGATAAATATTTTTATACATTACATATGCTGCCATTTGCATTTTGAGTAGTCCGAATACCTGCATATATTACACTGCTTCGATAAAACAGTAACTTTGATAAAGTCAGTAGTACTTGTATAGTCCCTGTACAAGTACTGGGATTTGATACCAATTTACTCACAAGTAAGATTTAATTTTGTTACTTAAATGATGTCTGTAGTGAAGGGAACCATCTATACATGTATTTGAAAAAGAGGAAATTATATGACATGCTATTTTATATCTGACTTTGTAAGAGTGGCTTTTGATAGGTTGGAATGTGTCTGAATATTTAGGAAAGATCAGGGGAAGATCAATGTCACAGATATTTTTCCTCCTTTGGAGGAAAGTAGACATGAAGCAGAAGAAAAATTGCTATAGGGAAAAGAAAATGTCTTTGAATTTTTCTTCATTCTGCATCATTCCCATAAGTTTCAATTTGAAGCTATCACTACATTTTGGCTGCCACTTTTACTGAATCTGTTTAAATACATTTGGCTGCTTGACGTTTTTGTTCTAAATTGCGCTGGAGTCTATCTGGTTTGCAGTCAGAGAGAAAGCATTACAGTCTGAAATAACAGGTTTCAAAGCTTTTCCCCCCCCCCAACCTGTGCACATGAAGGTCTCCCTACACTGGCAACATACAAAGCCATCGAATGAAAAGGGCAGCTTGTGGAAGTGCTGGAAAAGAACTGACATTTAAATTAATTTTTGAAAGTATAAATTTGAAACTTATAAAAAGAACAAGGTGTGTATGGAGAAGCTGAATAAAGTAGAGATGAATGTGAAGGTGGTTTTTTTAATGCACTTAGCAGACTCAGCTGGAGTTTTATTTTCAAACTTTTGGCCCTTACCACACACACAAAAATACCCAAAAATAATAGTAGCACAGTGTTGGATTCTCAGATTGGCCTGTGTAGCCTCAGTGTAATAACAGACATACAAGTGGTCTGGAGATGAACTGCAAGGAACTGGCCAAGGATATATGATTTCTTAATATCATTTAACTCTTGTTTCTTTTTTTACTCTTGGATAATGGTGAAAAGTCAGACTAAGTGCCATCTCAAGACCATATTTTTGGCAAGATCAAGCCAATATAGGATATAGATTTTTGTTTTCTACTTTCTTATGTATCCAAAAAATTTTCATCTCTCATTGAAATAAAATTAAAGATCTCACATGATTTAATGTTTTCTTATAGAAAGTGTTTATCTACGTCTTTGCAGCTCAGTGAATTTATAATATAAATCTGTATTATCAGTGTTTCAGCAATCATGTGTATTTACAAGGTTGATATATAAAATGAGTAAAAATTGTAAAGAAACATTTTACAGTGCGACATTGAACCCATCAGCTTGATTCTGACAGGTTCCCAGTCTGAGTGTAGTCCTCTGCCTTTCAGTTTGTTTCCTAACTGCATGACAAAAAAGGACATTTCTCACACCAAAAATTTGGTGGGATTTCACAAGGTCTTAATTTGGTACTGTTTGCCATGTCAGGAAGCACTAAGAAGTGGACCATTACTTTTAGAACCTGCTCCTCTCCTTACATCCAAGCAGCCCAAGTGCATTCATCCCCAGTGGTCATGTAAGCCTTGAAGTTCCTCAGCTTTGGAATTAAAGAGGTGCCTGCATTGACATGTATCACGATGGGTTAAACATCATGTTCCATGGAAATTTTCCATTTTTTTTTGTTTTTGAAGTTAGAGAGTAAAGACTGGAAATTTAGGTTAAGTTATTTTGCCATTCTAAATACAAACAAAAATGGGCGGAAGGAAACATAGCTCGGTGACAAACTTTGTTTAAACTGTAATCGACCTGAGGGTTGGAATAGGTGAAGAATTATTTTAAAAAGTGATGAAAAGGAGATTTCTTAGCAATATTTGCATGAATGCTCTGAAATGCAAACTTAATGTCATCCAGTGTATTTTAAACCCTCATACAGCAAGTACTGATTGCTCCTGTAACTAAAATTGATTTTGTAATTGATTATGCCTGTCCGTGTAAGTACTGGGTATGGCTACAACAGACCTGGAGTGCAAGAACTATTTCATGGAGCATGCTAATGAATATATGGAGAATAAAGTTAGCCACTTGTGTCCTCAGGCCTTAACTTGTAAGTTATATACTGCATTGTCTTTGTAAATGTTGGTGTACAGGAATATTTATAGATTTTGTCTCTCTTTAGGGTCAAAGAAGCCGAGGAAGTCTGCAGGCAGAAAAAGGGGAAGTCGCTATACAATATTAGACCAAAACATGACTCTGGAATTGTAAGTAAAAATTGTAGCAATACTTTATATCGCTTCTACCTTTTTCTCTTTGCATTTTATAGGCAGGTTATTCTTGATGTTTGTTTATGTTCTTCTTTTTGTTGGTTGGGTTATTTTGTTGGGTTTTTTTTCCTTAATGTTTAACATTTTTCCTTAAAGGAGTTAAATTAACAAACTTGAAATCTGCCTATGAATATTACTCCACAAAACAGATGTAGCACAAGCAAGAACAGTTTATTATTGCCCCACTGCACCAATCTGTGTTCTTCCCAGTCTTGGTGTAGGATGCACATAGAAAGCAGAAAGGCAGTTTTGGTCTTCCAGCTTATTCAGTTCATATTCACTCTCTTTTCTACAGATACAGAATGAAAGGAAGAATTTTGATAGTTACACATTTTTCAAGCTGAATCTCTGTATCAAATACAGTGGTTTCTGATCCACTCACATGGATTTGCTTGGAATAGAAACTCTAGAAAAAGATAATAGCCTGCTTTCACCATTTTTTTGAAAACAAATAAATAACTTCAGTTATAATAGAGGAGTAATTCTGGTCATTCAGTGAAACCTTTCCCCTATGATTGCATAACCATTGTGAGGATCATGACTGGTTTTATATAAAAATTATTCTGGTACCTCACATTTAAATCACAGCTGTAGCAACTGGCCATCATTTATGTTTGAAAAATATTAGATTTTTTTCATGTGTCTGTGTCCCTGTCTGTGTCCTCTGCTCCCCACCAACCCAAGACATGACTTAATTCTTTTGTGCTTTGTAGTCATAGCTATGTAGTCATATTATCTGTGACACATCTTGTAAATGAAGCATATGGTAATTTACTGTATTCTAACTAACATAATCTGATACAGAAAGCAATAATATTGCATTTATTGTTTCTTATTTTGAATGTTTAGTCAGAGTTGACTGTAGTTATTGCCACAGGAAATGTAAATGGCTAGCTTGGTAAGGAATTATAAACTACATTTTATCAATTTTATTTAAAAGCAGATCAACATGTTACTTAAAAAAACAAAAAACAAAAAAAAAAACACATTAACATAGTTTTGGATTTCTCCATCAAACTTATATACTGCTGTATATGAAAACACTGAGATTTAAGAAATAACTATTTGTTTCATTATTCCTGTATCATTCTTACTTGCACTGAAACAGGGACCTACAGTCTTAGTGAAAATTTAATGAGTGAAAAAGAAGGTAAACAAAAATATTTCACAAGCAGTGTATAGCTGTAGTCTACTTCAGTTCTAGCTTCAAAGGTAATTTATACAGTCAGTTCTACAGCAAATATAATCAAACATTTGCCTATGTATTTCTATGCTTTTCATATTTGTGTAAGGTGATTTTGTGTATACTCAAATTTTGTCCTTATTTTTTAAATTTGTTTTATTTTTCAGAAAGCAAAGATAAGTATGAAAATCTGAGAGAAGAAATTCAAAAGCCATTGTTACCTGGTTACCAAAACTCAACATGCCTGTGGGTGGGGAGGAAACTACATCATCCTGATCATTTGCTTCCTTGGCCTTTTAAAACTTGCTTTTTGTTCTCTAGAGTTTTCCACCAACTGATGTGTTATTGTACATTCATTCATGAATGTAATCACTTCAACGGAGTGCCCAGAAATAGACTAGGTATGGACTTGAAACACCTTCCCTGTACTCTATATCTCCTTTGCCACTCAGAAATGGTATTTTGTAAAGTGTATGGTATATTACAAATAGGACAAGTCAGCATGAATAAAAAGTGGCATCTGCATCAGTTCTGAACATGCTGAAAATTGCATTAAATTGAACTTCATAAGAATGCTACTTGGTACAGTAAAACATTTCCATTCCTACTGGCAACATCTAACACAAATACTTCATGGCACTGCACTTAGATTAGGGAAAGAAATGTTACTCCTAGTGAATTGTTTGTATCCGTTTCATGTTGGCATTTGTAGTTTGTATTTTGAATCGTTAAGTGCTGTTTATACAGTATAATCAATGCTTTCCCAACTTGTTTGGTTGCCCTCCATGACTAAATATTTGTGGAACAAGATGTTTACTGTAACTATCTTTAAAATCGATAAGGCAGCATACTTTTACTTCATCTTTTGCCAGATAGTGAATGCCAGGTGGTATGGGGTTCAGAAATCCAGCATTTAAAAAAAAAAAAAAAAAAAAATTGAAAAAGCAAGAAAATAATGAAAAGCACAGAAGTATGATAGAGAGTATGAGAGATTTGGCTATTATAGTTTGTTACTATATAAAGCAGCTAATACTTTTACATGAACTTTAGAAGGTATAGTATAGTTTTAACTGCTGATCACTTAAGTCAGACAGGCTTTTGGCCACATGTACATGACTTCCCTTCTGGAATTAGCTTTACAGTTAATTTAAAACTCCTTTAGAGAGCCATTAAAAGATGCACATGGAGACAACATTTATGGAAAACAGTAGCCAATTCTAGTGACAGAACATAGACTACCAACTAATTGACATCGATTTCACACTTAACAGAATTACAGACATTCCCTCCGGGCTTTCAGAGTCCCTTACTACGAGGTTAATGATTGAAATATATGACTTAGGGCTTCCATTTTAGACCACATGCTTACTTCCTATTCAGAATTGTTGAATTCACTGTATCAGTTTTAGAATACTCAACTGATAACAACCCCTTCCTCCAGTCCTTATTTAAGAGCCCCAAACCAATCGGCTTGATTGACAACATTTTTCTTTCAAAGCTGATTTTTCCTGAAAGCTGACTGTGTGTGCAACTCAGTTGGATGCACGTGCTCACAGCTTTGGAGCCTGGAAGACGCTGGGGTAAGGCCGATGAGCTCTAACCTGCTGGGTTGCATTATTCCCTGTCTAATCTAGCACGTCAAGAGACATTCCGAGCTGTTCAGAGGCTAATATACTCTACAGGGTGTCATGAAAGGAAGTGCAAAATATGACCTCAGGAATCTGTTATTCTTCACATATACCAAGCACTAGAAAATAAGGTTTTTTTCACTATGTGAAAAGCAAGTCTCCTGTTACTGATAAACCTATGTGAAAATCTGTACTAGTAGTAATTTCTGGCAGGGATATAAATTACCAAGAATGGAATTCTAAAATTTTGTGTTGATGGGAGTAGCATTACTATTTGGGGAAGAGAAAATAAGAGATTATTTGCTGTTACAACTAACTTATAGAAGAAAAACAAACTTTAAAGAGTAAAGCTATTTTAATGGCACTGATTCAAATCCATGTTTGTATTTATGTAAACAATAGTCTTTTCCTCCTAACTTTGCTCCTAAGTGCAAGGATACAGTAGCATGTTTTCATTTGTAGCTTTCCTGTTCTCTTCAGTACCTACAGTATGTATATTACTATACTAAATGAAATAATAGATCATCTAACAAAGATCACTATGTGCAATACTGTATTTAGTGTTTCTATTCCAATTTTTTTAGAATGTTAATTTATAAGAAAATAAAAGGAATAATAATGAAAAAACTGCCTTCTCTCATCACTCTTTGGCTATTCTGTAGTGTGCTACAAACCGTTTGCTCCCTAAGCACCACATCCCATTCTGGCTCCCCTGATTGAGGAAGAGCCTTTGTGAAGAGAGCAAAGGAAATATGGCTTCCTATTGATTGCCTTTTGGAAGAGTAGTGACATAAATTCCCAGATAGGTGGATATAATACCTTTTCGTGGTAGTGAGAGCTTCAGCATTCCTTACCCAAGGAGACTATGTAAAACTCACTTCTCCAACTTGTGCATGCCTCCCAGTCTTGCACTTGGCACAGGTTTGTAACCTGGTCCTAATAACACTGCTGAATTAAGAGTCTCAAGAAATTGCTATTAAGTCAAAAATATGCATTGAAAAATATTATCTGCATATTATAATCCTTTTATATATATACAAGTGTTTTAGAAACCTTCTAAAAGGTCCAGCAACCTCTGAAATCTGTCACATACATACAGACCCTTTCTACAGGATCTGCAGCACGGATGGTAGAAGCCTCTCTCTCTGAAGAAGCGTTGACTGCAGCTGATGGAACCATATTATGATCACATGCTGCTATGTAGATAATTCTTTCATTCTACTCAGACCCAACCTATTTGGTTGAACATCTCTCTTCTATATAGCTCCTCTCCAGCCTGTCTCAAACATCCATGCAAAGCATCCCACTATGTGCAGCACCACAGTGGACCCACAGAACATCCAAAGGGGGACTCACAGCACAAGTTTCACTTCTGCTCTTTGTTTTTAACAGCATACTCAACTTTTTACAGAATTCTGGACCACTGTTCTTTTGTTTGTTTGTTTGGGTATGTTTTAAAGGGGTTTGAACACCCCACTGGTCCCCTCTCCCCTCATTTGCTGCAATCCTCCCCTTTACTGCAACATCAAGCACTCTAATCTTACAGCTGGCCCTAATTCTACAAGAGTTCTCACAGAAAAAACTCTGAGCCTTTGTTAATTACTAACACCATGTATTGCTCAGTGTTAGTTAAGTGCAGCAGCAAAAGAAGGACTTTCATACCTGAGCAGCAGATGTGACTTGCTGGCAAGAACAATCTGGTTTTTTATGAAGAGCTAAGAGGATTCATGTTGTTTTGCGTGCCAGTTAAAGCCTTTCAGAAGCATGGTACTTTGTCACGTCATGACACTGTAGCGGGTTAGCTTTTTTTGTAGCACCTTTCATCATCCCCAAACACTTCCAAAACTTAGTTAAGCATTAACCAACTGTGGCCGTGGGAATAATAATTAGAGGGATCTTCCACAGACTTTTTTTTTTGCCCAGTTTTCAGTGATCAGTTTTGATCTGATCACTGAAAAAAGCTGGAAAGCAATTACCGATTTCATTAAGAGAACATACAGCAAATCATTGCATTGCAATTATTTTGTTGCAGACTCTAGGTTAAAAGCAAAGCTAAACTTGTGATAAATCCACTATACCAGTTACTTCAGTTACACAAATTTTTAATCTGCTGTGGACAGAATAAGTGAAAACTGATGAAGTTGAGTTTTTCTGAAGATAGTGTACACAAGTCAGCAAAGGTTGAAAAGAGAAAACCATGTCCCACTCCATTCATGTTTGCCACCCATCAAGAGGATTCTCATTACAGAACAGCTTTTATGAGCTATTCTCTCACAACAGACCCATCTGCTCCTCTATCTGATATTCATCCAACCTACTTTTAAAAGCATCCAGTGGTAAGTCCATGGCCTCAAAAAAATGATGGCTTTCTGAACTAAAGGGTCCCTACTGCCTCAGCACTGTTACCTCTTTTATTCCCAGCTGTTCCTTGGATTTATGCTCTTAGAAATTCCACTTGCCCCCCACCCGAAACTGGGGCCCTGCCAACATGGCAGTCCCACTGTGGGTTCAGTTTAACATGCACTGCCCTGCTCCCTTCCCCTGTCCTGTAGCACCTGTCCACTTTATGAAGTAACTACATCTGTCTGACCTACAGCTTTTCCATCTACTCGGGGAGATTCACCTTGTTCTTGGATTGCTTCCACAAGGGGGAGATTTTTGGATCACGGCATATGCCTCTGGTAAAATGACAGTACAGCAGCTGGGCAGCAACAGACTGAGAGAACTGGAGCTGGAGTCTGGGCTGTGCCTCAAGCCGCAGAGGTTCAGGTGGGTGCTGGGCAATCCATGACCTGCAAAAGCAGCAGGCTGGCCAAGAGATGGCTGCAAATGAGAGAGGGGCATTTGAGGAGGTGACCACTGAGCTCCTTTTGAGTCAAGTGACAGAGGCACTTAGGAGGTCTGAGCAGGGAGCCTGACCACACCCAGGGAGCCAAGGCAAAGTAAGACACTAATTCTCTAAAGCAATAGCTACTAAAAAAAAAAGAAGTCTCCAAACACTGAACTGTGAGAAGATTTGGGCAAGAGACAGGGAAGGGAAGACAGCAAAGGGCTCCTACAAGTGTAGTGCCATAAAGGACCTAGCCATCCCTTGCTAGCTGTGGTCTAGGTTCTCCTGCTTCTTTCAAGACCCATCACAGGCATCACTTCTGGTCACATGGAGGTTCATCAATCACTGTGACAGCTCCCTTTCCACACAGAAATCTTCCCTTGAGAAACTGCATTACCTCTGTGTTGGTAAAGGAAAAAGAAAAAAACAATAAACCCCAAAATACTACGCTGTGTTTGGACTGCCATATGGTGAAACCTGTCCAAGAGCTGATAGCAACCAATATCTGATAGCTGAAGCTCACCTATATCTTAGAACTTTTTTTCCTTTTAAGTAGATTGGTACCTGTTACAAAAGGGTCTATATATATTTTAAACAAAATTATTTAGGTCAGTTACTTCTCTTGTGGTAAATGATGGTGATGTTTCAGCCAGTGGTGGAGCTTTGCTCAGCAGTTTACCAAAAAACCCAGAATAACTGCATGCAGAATCGACTCCAGAATCTAAGAATAGTGCATCTCATTTTTGTGTGTTTTTTGTCTTGCCTTCCAGGTACTTCTGAGGAGAAGTACTGGGAAACAAGGGGAGAAGTAGTTAGGTTTTCCCAACTTGTCAGGGTGAGACATCATTCACCTATATTTGGGAGGGTGAAAAGGCAGCTGGAGAATGTACTGGTTAGAGAGCAGTTGCACACAAACTCTTGAAGCAAAACACCTGGATGCCATATAACCCTAGAGTAGCTTTATTATTTAATCTATAATTTAATAGTTGACCTATAAAATAATTACATTATACTTAAAGCATTTCTTCATTTTTTGTTGTCATTTATAAAACAAGAATTAAATACAGTTTTAACCATTACAAGCTCAACTCAGTTTTTACATAAACACAGCTCCTAGAAGGAGCTTTAAGCTGCAGCATATTCATATTTCAAACTGGTGAAAAACCCAGGCAGGGCATAGCTTAAAGATTCTTGCATGTTTTTCTTAGGTGAATTTACTATGGTGATTTTCTCTCTCTGCTCCAAAATGTCTGACTTTCAGTTCATTCCTTTCAAATGAAGACTGAGATCCCCAGGAGTCTTAGTAGACTGTATTGCCACCTTCCCCCTCTGCACCACACCCATACTCTCAAGACTGAATTGTGCCCATCCTGGGGCTGGCACGATGCCACAGGACAGCAGCAAGAGCCCCTAAAGCATTCCCTGCACGAGGAGTCTCCCTGTGCACTTCTGACACGATGGAAGGTCACAGCAGAAAAGCGACTTCTGTTCATGTAACAGGGCTGCCAGACCCGACCAACCTCACCCTGCCCACGCCAGCCCCTGTAAACCGCTTGGAGCTCTGGTGGAGATCAGTCCTGAAAGCCTCTTAGGGAGGCCTGTGTCACATAGTGGAGACCTGTGGCTCTGAAGCCCCGGCTGGCGACAGTGCTGAGCACATTAACCCCTTGAAGTGGCTGCATGGGAGGAGGCTGGTGGGGAGGGGCTCTGGCATCAGGCTGCAGAGGCTGAACTGTGAGACATGCACAGGGAGTCAGCATGTCATTCGTAATTTGTAAGCTTCAGACAAGTGTGTGCACACTGGCTTTGGTTTGGGGGAAGGGGCTGGTTTGAGACAGGATTTTAATGCAGCTGGGACTAATACAGATCAGAACTGTAACAAATGGGGTATAGAGGACACGTAAAACTCCATCAACTGAATAACAATATAATATGATTTAAAATGAACTGCAAGTTTTCACCAACACTTATTGTGCAGGTCTCAAAAACTCAGTGGACCACCAATAGTGTAGCAATTACAACTTACTCTCTCCCTGCTCCCACAACTGTGACCCATTCCAGCAGCACTGACTGACTGAGGCATTTGTCCTTTAACACTAATACATTAACATGGTTTCCAGTCATGGGAGAGACACCACTCCCAAAACTTGATGACACTTATGCAGCTTTTGTATTCAGTCCAGCAATGACCAAACTTTGTCCTTTGTGTGACAGTGCTTTTATACCTTTCGGGACACATCACTCCCTTAAGTGTTCTCTCCCACTACCCTTCCACCTCCCCTGGTTTGAGCAGGCATAAATATAAGGTCATAAATGGATGTTGTCCTTTTTGGAGTAAGAAACACACACACACACATATCTAACATACAAAAACCTACCAAAAGCATAGTAAAACCATGTCCATTTTAAGCCAGGCAGCCGACCTAGCAACTGAGTCTCTTAACATATTTTAATCGCTGGCATACTCTGCCACAAGAAAAATATACATGGCTAGGTCTATAATACTTTAAACAGCTGTTTACTATAGCTAGGTTACAAAATAAACATTGCTGCAGAGGCCATGTGTTCAATATACTCTAACCACAACAGCATCAGAACCCACCCTCAGTCTGCTCTGTGGTCACCGTGGCTGACCCAGTGCCTCACCCTCTTCCCCTTGCTTCTGATCTGCCGTTCAGACAAGCCCAGAATCATTTGTCATTGCACAATTGAAGCCGTCTTAAGGGGAGGAGCCTCATCAGAGAGTCTCGCCTGCTTTTCACACATTACTCTCCCCAGTCCGTGTCCCCCAGTCCTGGGCAGCACCCCAGCACTTCCAAGTGAGAGAAGCAAGCTCCAGATGAAAGCAAGGGGAAGGCATTCTCAGCTTGTGGAGGGAACTGGAGTGTAGGGCAGAGGGCTTTACTCCACACAGTGGAAACATTTAATGCTGGATTCAGCCAACTGGTCACTTAGATGATCAATCCAAACTTCTGTGAGCCTGCTCCACTCCAGAAGATTCAACTGCCAGATGATATTTAAAATATTTATGGTGAAGTGCCTAACACAGCCGGTTAAAAAGCATTATTCCAGTAGGCAAGTGACAAGGAGCCTTTCCTTGCTGGAGGGATGTCTCCTGAAAGGAAACAAAACATATAAAAGAAAAAAAAAAAAAAAAAAAAAAAAAAAAAAAGGAAAGAAGAAACACACCAACAAAATGGACAGTCTGCTCAGCGGGAGAGGAGAGGCAGCAGGAAAGCTGATGGAGGCAACACCAAGCAGCAGCCACATGCCTGTTCTCACAGTTTGCCTGAGCTGTTCAGATTCACAGACATGCACCGGCACTGCTTGACCTTCTGGATTTTCTTGAGTCGGAAGGGTGGGTCCAGCTCGGGGCACTCCAGCTGCACGGTCGAAGAGGTGACCTTGTGTGGCTTGCAGAAAGCACAGGACTGGAAGGACTCCTCCTCCTTCTTGACGTGCCGCGGGATGTAGAAGGAGTTGCACTGCCCATAGCAGAAGCGGTTGATGATGGTGCGGCTGATGCAGCCCTCCTCGCTCACAGTCTGCCGCAGCGGCTGCGTCTTGCACCAGTCGCTCTTGAGGTACTTCCTCTCGGTGACCACGAGGGCCTCCTGGCTGGAGGCCAACACCTCCTTGTTCAGCTGCTGCCTCCGCTCCGAGTGGTTGCTGCCGCTGCCTTTGTACGGGGAGGGAATGGCACCGGCAGGGCGGTTCTTCCTGGTGTCCGACACTCGAACCACTGCTGCCATCAGAAAAACGGACAAGGCAAATTTCCAAACCATCCTGCAAGGGCAACGCAAGGCACTGTTAGGAGACACGTATTTTCAAACCACAGAGCTGGAATGGAGCTGGTACTTCACACACGCTTTTAGAAGAAGCGGAGATCTTATCGCCTTTATAATCCCATCACTTTTCCTAGATTAGCTCTATTCTTGGGTGATTACGTATCATGAAGAGGCCAGGCGGCCCTTTGGAAAGTCACACTGCTCCCCCTCAGCCCTCTCCAAACTCTCCAGCTACTTGTTTTTTCCCCACAGGGACACTAATGCTTTGAGGCTGAAGTGGTGGTTTTACAGCAGCTTCAGCCAGAAACGTTTGCTCCTTCTCTGTGAAATCCTGGGCCAAACAGCTGGGCAAAATCCTGGCTAGCAAAGGCTCAAGAGACTCTTGCCAAGATGGTGAGAGCTGATTTGGGGATGGCAGGGGAGAGGGCAAGGGAATACCCGGTTACACAAAGTGCATGCCCATGTCTTTTCAGCCCTCAAGTCCCAGCCCAGCCTCACGCCCCACAGAAGTAGCAAGGGGTGTCCAAAAAACTATTTTTATTATTTTAAATTGCTTCTGAAGTTTCTTAGGGTTCTTATGGCACTCACAGGCTTGTATTTGTTGTCTTTGTATGAGGCCAAAATCTTGATGGATTTATTTTTGCAGTAAGAGGAAATGCTTAAACACAACTTCGAGGACTTCACAACTGCAAGGCCTCTTGGGAAAATGGTTTAAGAAGGTTAGTAAACATGAGAGGATTCAATATTTATTTTTGATTTTAAGGAATAAGTTACCACATAAGTTTGTTGCTAAGTTAAAATAGTCAGCCAGATAGCAAAACTATTTTTTTCCTATGGTTGCCTATTATGTATTCTTGTTCTGTGGAGCATCTCTTACCAGCTCTCATCCAAATCCATTTTAGTAATGTGTCTCAATGTGCTTCCAGAACATCAGACTAGGTGCACTAAACTTCCTTATAAAGTCAATGCTCGGTCATGAACTGCTCATTTGGCAGTTCATTTCATATCCCTCTCCATGGGAAAGGAGAACAGAGGATCTCTTCAGTGCCAGAAGCTGGTGCACAGAAGCTTCCCATTTGGAGACTAGAACACTTCCACATCTTTCTGAAGTGTTCTATTCACCTTTATTCTTAATGGATATTTTTACAGCATACAGAAGAAAGACTTATCCCTCTCCTCAAGGTAAAGCTTCAAACCCTTCCAAGTAATGATTTTAATTTTTTTTTTCCTTTAGAGAGATGTCTAGACAAAAAAACTGCCATCACACTGGTAATTATAATATCTAACACTTCAGATGTTGTATAGGTACTCCCATTTAGAAAACAGGTCACTTTCCAAACAATGACACCAAAAGATCAAAAAAGTGCTTGCCATAAAGGTACAAAAGAAGACAATAACAGTAACAAATGCTTCTTACCTAATAAAGCTGACCTAACATGTTTAACTTCTGTGGAGATAAAGAAAAGGAACTACTCTGGCAGACTAAGTGAGATAACATTGCTTAAGGCTATTTTCTAAGTCTACAAGATCTCAATGTCAGACTTGGACTAAGTCTCTAAAGGGAGAAGCCTGAAGTGCTGAAGGAAACAAAAGTGATAATCATACAGCTGTAAACAGACGATGTTCTGATGCAGAGTTAAATTTCACCAGAGTGTACGCTTGAAACAGAACCACCTTTAAATGGAAACCAGTATTTCTAAACCACAAAAAAGTTCATTCATCTGCAACCATGCCATCTCCCCACAGAACATCCACTGTAGCCATGGGTACTTTAAATCAGTGGCCTATTTTCACACTGCTTAGCATTCAGCATGCAAGTCCAAGAAGTTTTGTCCAGAGCCTTTAAACGAAGCAAGACTAGACTTGGCTTTGCTGGCATGTATTGTCGCCAAGTCCACTGGATGTCAACCCACACAGCCAGGCCAAAACCTAATCAGGTAATTAGTTTCAGTTGAATATAGCGTTCCATGTTTCCTTTCGAACTGTTCTCATGTTATTCTGCACTGACGGCTGCATTTCAGTAGTAGATAAAACAACTGATTGCCAGTGCTTTGTGTTTTATATAGAAAGGGGAGGAAAAGAAACCAGATTTACAAACCTTTGTCTTCTAGAAAAAGACAGAGGTGAGCTCTCCACAAGATTATGGCCTTATGCCACAATTCTCAGACACACTCTTCTACTCTTTTGAAACACAAGGGATACTTATGCCTCTCCAGTCTCATTCTCTGATCCTGGCATAGAAGAGGACAGCAAAGGTCAGCAAGAGAGACACACCCTTTCGCCCACCCCCTCCTCTTTTCTTGGGATGATCTTTAATGTCTTTTCCAACTTCCATGACTCTACAATTCTGTGAAACCCCGTGTTACCACGGCTGCCCTTTCTCTTCATAAAATGCAACTTGAAAGGACATAAAATTTCCTTTTTGTGTCAAGAGTGGTGGTCAAGCAGAACTGCTACACAGGAATTCAGGAAACCTGACAGAGTAACTAACAACTCAACATCCATAATATAGAGAAAAACTATAGCAGTATTCCAATTGCTTAAATGGTTTTATGTAGGCATGAAGAGCCATTCAATAGAGTAAGTAGGATTTATTCAGTAAGTCTGTGTTTATAACTAATAAAGCATTATTAATCAAAGCCACTATTGTACAGTTATAAACCAAACACTGCAATACATGCAAGTACTTCTACAGACAGGTAGGAATGCACAACTTATTTCAGTCATTGATCTTTATCAAACTTGAACCTTAAAATATTTACATAATGGAGTAATAATCTATTCTACACTAGGGAGGTCAAATGTGCATTCTGTCAGATAGTGGAATTTCTAATCACAGTGTTACCCCTTACTAGCCTGCAAATCACCCCTTTCTAAGCCCTGGCACACAAATCCCCTATTCAAGCAAGTAAGGGTGCAAACAAGGTCACACGATGCCAGCAACTTGCCAAGGACTACACGTGTATTTTCAGCACTCACATGCAAAGAGAAGAGATACTTCAGGCCTCCCAGAGAAAGAGAACCTTTTGGCAAACTCAATTTGAATGCAAAGCAAGACGGTGAATGCTGTCTGTCTGCAGACAGAGCGGGATGAGAAGAAACACAAAACGTACTGGGGAAGAATCTGACTTTTGGCAAGGACAGGGCAGTTCTGCCCTACATAGATGGAAGAGAATGAAACAGCATGTGGCTGAGACCACACAAGTGAAATCTGCCTCAAGATACCAAAGCCCCTTCAACTTGCACCAATGCCAGTCTGGGCCCCCATTCCTGCTGCACTGGGGTCCCCATAGCAGACCCAGCGGCAGCTCCTTTGTGACAGGTTTCAACTTCTTCAAGCATTGTTGCCAGCTGCTGCCAGTTCCCCACACACTTTTTTTACAGTGCATGAGCTGAGAATAACTTAACTTTACACAAGACACCCAACAAGGCCTGGCTGCATTTTACATATCACATGGCAAGTTTTTTCTCCTTCAGATATGGAAATCAGCATCAAGTATGAGTTAACAAACTCATCAAACCCATCATGCTGGGGTTGGGCTATCAGGCCCAGGAGTGTAAAAAATCCTTGGCCATGGAAGCGAGAATGTCAAAATCCAGCTGTGTCATTCACAGGTCAGGTCACTGTGCTGGGAGGGGAAAACCGAGGATCACTGTGTCCTCCCTTAGCTTTATTTCTCCTTTGTATCCAATTACTGTGTAACATAAAATACCTACCAAGGCAGGCTCCCTTTTGCATGCTAACCTCTTGGTCCTATAACTCACACATTCTCAAAAGTAATCCAGCTCCAGAGCACGGATTGGTGTAACCCCCAAAATAGATTATAGTTTTGTGCTTAGGGAAGTCCTCTCTGGATTGGAGCACTGGATTTGCTTTCAGAATTCAAGGTCATCATTTTCTGAGAAGTCCCCCTGAGAAGAAGTGGGTGCTACTTCTGAAAGGCAGGGCAGGAGGTAACACCAGTGCCCATCTGTGCTGAGTGACCGCTCCAGTGTTTCCTCTAATTTTCGAAGTCATGACCAGTTTCTCAGCTCAGGATGCAGATCCTTACTGGGAATTCCTATTCTGAAGATCAGCCTACTTGAAGCTGGCAAGTGGACAGAAAGAAAGAGGGATATAACTGAAAGATCACTGTGATATTTTACATTAGGTGCTCAGGAAATCAGGAGGTGTGAGACCCATCTGTTTGTTTTAGCACCTACTTTGTAGCACCTACAGAGCAGTCAGCATTATCAGCATTCCTGGAAGCATCCAACTCTCTGATACAGGTATGACACAATCATCTCTCCACCAGGTCTTTCCGGAGGGAATTCAGAAATAAAAGTCTTAGGCAATTTAAAACAAACCAAAACAACAAAACACAACAACAACAACAAAATCCCATCAACCAAAAAAAACCCAATCCACAACCAAAAAATCCAAACCTGCAAAACCTATCTTACCATGGAATTTGAGACTCTACCTATTCAGCTTAATCACAGTATGGATTCATAAGGAAGAAGACTTAGTACTATAAACCTGTCATACACCCATCAGAAGTACAGTCTCAAGTACTGTGAGAGCCAGTGGCTGGGAAGATGATAAACAAATTTGGGGTTTTTTTTTTCTTTTTGAAAAATTTAAATTTAGTTAGCAGCTGCAGAGCTTCCCTTGGACAGATATTTCTCTGTAACTACCAGCAAAATGCAGGCATTACAGACTAGATTAAATCAGGTCCCATTACATAGTACAGTACATAGACGGCCACATTTCACCACCTGTATCACTTGCTTCCAGTTTCCACACTGCAAACTTCAGAGATATGAGAGATATCCTTAGGGGTCACTTGAATGTGGCTGAATGCAGGAAGCCTGCATTTTTTTCTAGTCTCCATTTACTTTCATATTAGACCTAGTCAGAAAAAAAATCTGTATAAACCAGTCATATGTATAATAATGTAAGAACACGATGTACATGGTTAGTTCTCACATTTAAGATGGGACACAAGAAGCGTTCCT